TGGGGATGGAAACGTTTTGAGGTTTATTCTGCCACTCGGTTTTTCGAGAAAATTAAAAATATTGCAGGTGAATAATGTAATTAGACTTTCCGCAGGGATTTTTACTTTTTCTCATCCGGGAATCGGTATTGGCCCTTTCGCAAACTTGTAAAAGTGAAAATCACTGGGGGAAAATGGCCTTCGCGGCTAGTGTTCTGGGATTTTTTCACTCGCGTGGTTGGCCAGTTCGCGCCTGCGGCTCAGACGCCATCTAGAGGCGCAGAATGATCGTCATTTTTTAAACAAAAAAATAACGGTCATCTGACGCGCATATTTTCTAACTACAAATGATGGTCACAAATTATTTGTATGCAATTGTCAACACGTCTTGCAGATGGATAATGACGGTCACAAATTTAAAAAATAGTTTCATCTATGGAAGACCTAGAAAATAATTCTGCGATTACGTGACTTGTTTGGTAATTTTTCTCCAATTTTGTTCTCCGCATAAACCAAAAATGACTCGTATTCTCTTTTTAAATTGTGACGGTCGTAAAGGGGTGCGTGACGGTCGCCATAAACGCCTCTAACGCCAACTTCACGCGAGTAAAAAACCCTATGGCACTCGTCCTGAAATACTTTTTCCAATGATGAATAATTCCTCTCAAACGTTTTATCCCTCAGTTGGAGAATAAAGACGATACAACTGGCATTAAATATGAGTTTGATTCCACGTATTTCTCCGGATTACGTGGAATTAATGAAAATGAGACTGATATACCAGTATTTGAGGTGAAAAATATGGTAAAAATTGTATAGCCTTATTATTGTAATTAGAAAGAAATTTTGAAATTCAAATGAAAAAAAAATTTTCACAATTGGCTGTTGATCGATTGATCCGACGAATTTCCTCACCAATCGTCGGAATGTAAATTCGTAATTCGATGAATTCACTCGTTGAATTGAAATGTACAGTGAGAGTATATAATTTTATTATGTAATTTAGGGTAATTGGTAATAGAAGAGTGAAATACAACAAATGCCAGTTGTACAATTAAGGCGAGGACTTTGTTTCCCAGTGATGATGAGTTGATGATGATTTAGCAGAGTTAAAAATAGACATGGAAAATTCAATGAAAAAAAATACAAGAAAATGACATTAAATCACTGAAACGTTAAAACCTAAAAAAAATTATTTTTCACGTCTGAAGTGAACGAATGATTCCGTTTGAATTTCTTCTCAACCGAAATCAACTATTCAATGTTGAAACCGTAAACTACGACGTGTACAAGCGATATGAGTTGAAGTGAAATTGAAATAAAATCACAAAAACCAGGGAATGGAGAATGCCGGTTGCAAGGGAAAACCATGCAATTGCAGATGATTAAGCCATAATCACCAGAATTTTGGTATCTGACACGTACACACGATAATTACACACGTACAAACCCCAACATGCTGAAGAAAATAACAATGAAAATGTATGAATATAATGTTTGCAGTTAGGTGGGACCAAAAACGACTTTATATCTCTATGTGCATATCCAAGCAACGTGTAATTTAATTAATTAATTATTCATTATTACTTGCTAGACGATGAACGAAAGATACATGAAAAGCTTACAATACAGCAATATTAAACAAATGAGATGAAACAATTAATACATTCTATTCGTGGATAAAGTGGTCGAGAGGAAGAGGACGACGACGATTGATAAATACAATAATTTCATGGTTAATTAGGCCATTAAGTTTGTCTATTGATTCATGATTTAACGGTTAGATATATCGATCATTATTAACTTTATTGTCTCTATTATTATATTGTTTTATTACGATTCATTGATTACTGATGATCATGATTTATTATTTAAACAAAATGCCGTTTTAAGACACGATTATCTAGGTAATACCAAGTAAGACAAGTACGTATCTATAAATATTAATTATTTTTAATTAATTATTATTATTACATTATGAAACATTTTGTTGTATTATTTTCAATAAAAATCGAATTGAAAATATTAATTTTTTTTGTATGAATTTCATTTTATTTTTTTGCTTTAGCCGGTGTTATTTTTGCGGTGACCTCGGGAACACAAAAATACTGAAATACGGAAAAACTTGCGCTGTGAATTCTCAGTCAGAAAGGGATGGAAAAATCTGAAGGATTAAGAAGAAATCTGAAAGGTTTACTGTTGGCGGCGCCGCCATCTTGCTTGAGTACCCCCTCCCTCTGGCGGACGGGGCTCTTAAGATGGCGGCGCTCCCACCTCGCATTTTTAAACGCTCATTGAAGTCACTTATTCACTTTAAATCACCCGTAACTCACGCCATCCGGTTTCTATAAAAAGAACAAATTTTTAAAACCTTTTTTTGGATGTCTCCACCCTCTTTTGACTGAGAATTCATGACGCAAAGGGTTCCCCGCATTTCAGCATTTTTTTTTTGCTCCCGAGGTCTCTCAACTGATCTTCAATGAAACAGAATTTTCCTGATTCATCACTTCATTCCTGATTTCTCTTAGTTTATTCTTATTATTCATATGGGCTTCCAAAACTTGGAGTTTTATGGAATGACATTTGATCATTGAAACATTTTGCAAACGTGAAAAAGGAAAAAATAGGTAAATGGAAAGAGGCAAAGACGAGTTTTTTCAACTTCAAAATTAGTTTTCAAAGCTCTTCAAAAATGAAAATTCCCCGAAACCTAAACTGACGTCTCTCTTACTGAAATTTGAAGTATCATACGCAAATGTTAGTGGAAGTAAGCTGCCACCTCCATCAAAATAATTTTCAGTTATCTTATTTTCCATTAATAAATTCTTTAAAAATTCTGTTTGCTGTGCATATGCAATTGCTCTCGATGTAGATCCTCGAATCCTCCCTCACTTCACCCCCAACAGCTCTGACCCACCGAACATTCCTGTTTTCAAAAAAAAAATCCTTGCTATGAACTCGATGCGCTCGAGTGAAGAACGTGTGTATAGGAAAATGGAAAAAACTAAACACGAAACGATGAGTTTTTTATCGAATAAAAGACGAGGATGATGCAAACCACAAACCAGATAATAGTTGTAAAGCAAAAAACACATAACTGATACACACATTTACTAGGTAAGTTCATACTGCGTATTGCCTTTTTGACTTCGATGTGAAAACAACTATAATAAGTAAACTTCAGGTTGATGATGAGCGATTTTTCATTTTCATATTGCGTTAATCTCCAATTATCCTCGACGATCCAAGTGTTTTATTGTTCGTCAGATTTTATGACGCATTTGATCGCCCATTGTAATTAAATTCTGGTGATGAATTCAAGTGATCTCGAGACTCATCTGTTACCGATCTGTGATTCGTATTTAATTTCGATGTAAATTCTATTTCAATTTGTAATTGATATAATTATTGTAAATGTCGAGTTCGAGATCACTGGCGTCTGGGGGATGAATGAAACACTTGGTGTTTTGTACTCGATAAATACAGGTGACGAATGATACAATTGGGGTGAGAATCGCTTGGACTATTGGAAATCAATCGTCGCTCATCGATTCATCTGTGTCTGTTTCATGTTTTTCAATATTTGTAATTTATCGGTAAAATTATAACGGTATCGATACATAACAGTCTAAAGTGTGCGCTACTCCACATTTATTATGAATATATATAAATAAATATTATATATATGAAAAAAAGTATAATATATATTATACACACATTGGGATTGGTGAGAATATACGGTTTTTTCGCTTTGGAGTGTTATTTTCTGAAAATATTGAACAAAATATGGAAAAAAAATTAATAAAACCAATTAATAAAAATGATGAAAATGGTGTTTCTCCCCTTATTTCCGTCTTTCAACAATAGCAAATAATTTCATCTAATCTTCATTATTTAATGAACAATTGCAGTTTATTTATTCCATGAAAATTAATAGCAATCAGGAAAATTCAGGTAAATATATTCTTGAAATTTAAATTCTGCTGAATTCTCAGGAAAATTTTGAACTCAACTGGAATCGAATGTTTTAAACCGCAAATCAAATTTCTAGTTGGTACTTGAGATAAATATAATTAGCGGGCAAAATTCATTTATTTTACATCTAGTATTCAACACCATCTTTAAAATGGTTTGGTGGTGATTGGTATAACTTTAGAATTCGGATATTTTGAAAGCTAGTATGTACTAATTTGGTGCAGATTTTAAAATTTTAATATATTTATATGTTCCCGCTATCTTGAATTTCCCTGGTGTTCGTATTTGATAACATCGTTCATTCCTTCAAAAACTCAATTCAAAAATTAATAAAACCAATTGATAAAAATGATGAAAATGGTGTTTCTTTCATTATTTCCGTTTTTATCACTCATTTTCAACAATAACAAATAATTTCGTCCAATCTTCATTATTCAATGAACAAATCAATGGAAATTAAATTGCAGTTCACCTATTCCATAAACATGGAGAAAAATCAGAAAAATTCAGGGAAATATATTCTTGAAATTTAAATTCTGCCGAATTCTCAGGAAAATTTTGAATTCAACTGGAATTAACTGTTTTAAACCGCAAATCAAATTTCTAGTTGGTACTTGAGATAAATATAATTAGCGGGCAAAATTCATTTATTTTACATCTAGTATTCAACACCATCTTTAAAATGGTTTGGTGGTGATTGGTATAACTTTAGAATCTAAATATCGTCAAAGATACTATGTTGTACTATTTTGGTACAGAAAGTTTAAGAATTTCAACAGCTTAAGAATTTCTAACGGATATAAGGTGTTCCTTCATTAACTCCATCGTACCTTCTTACGAAAATAAAATAAAAATATCGTGGAAGTATATTTTAATTGTGAAGATATCAACTTCTCTCAAAGAGTGAAGAGAATTAGTCACATCAATCGATCAATCAATCAATCAGTATTTGTATTTAAATAACATCTTTCGCTAATTCAAAGACTGAAATCAAAGACTTTCTCGTAGTTAATCAGTTGTAACCGTCAGCGACAATAAGTGCAGAATAATATTTCAAAAAGTGATTTATTCGACATTCAATACAGTTCCCCATTCACTGCAGCTAAAATCCAGAATTCTTTTAATTTCAAAATCAGTCTTCAACTTGATAAAATTCTTGGCGCATTCGACATCTCCCCGGCGTTGGCCTAGTTGACAATATTTGTTGGAGCCAGAGCCCCACAGCATTCCGTCGACTGAAAGAAATGAACGAAAGTCATACTTGATGTAAATGCCCTGTATAAATCACGACAATTACCTGATAAACATATCGTGAAATTGCTTCCACACTGGACTTTCTTTATGTGTTCATTCACAATATCTCCGTCTTCAGTTTTGAAATCAACGACTGTAGGCAAGGCTATCACCTTTTGATCACTTGTAATTCCAAGTTCTCCGTTTGTGTTCCATCCCCAGGTGTACAAGTCACCCTAAAAAGATATTTCGTTAATTTTTCGTGAGCTTCACTTCTCGTCGTGAAGAAATCAAATTTTAATGCATGGTATCGATCCTTTCCGTCAACAGTAAAAAATCATCTTCTCGAATTCTAAGAGACATATTGACATTTGGAAAAGATATTTGGAAAGTCAATGGAATTGTCTCTTCAGTGAACTATTTTATTTTATTTTTTTTCAACACATTTATAATCTTTATTTCTATGAGCAAAAGTTGCAGATGAAAATTTTATATCCAAACGATTCAATCGTATTAAATCACCTCGTTTATCGACGAAATATCAACCAAAAAGTTTAATTGTTACTGAAAATACTTCAATGATCCTTCTATCGAATTGCAGAAGTTGAATTTCGATTTGTTGAATAATTTGTTTGTTATAAATAAATTTAGCATGTTCGAAGATCTCGGCAATCAATTGTCGGTAAACATTGAAATTGGTGTCAAAAATTAGGAAATAGAGGCGTAATTGATTAAAATTGTGACGTGGTTTCCCGATTACTAATCCCGGAAATAATAGTATTAGACAGTCTCAAGATAGTACATCACTGGTAAGCGCAGCATTGTGCCAGCCTCCAGCAGCTATTTGGGTGATATTTAAACCAGCCAATGCTTCGATCAACGTTGGCTCATCGCAGTCTTCTAGATCACCATGTCCCAACTGTCCTCTCCTAAAAACGATCAAAAAGAAGAAAAACCCAAATCATTTCCACTGAAACCTACCAAATTAAAAAGAAAAATTTCGATCGAAAATGGCAAAGTCAGTAGATTTTTCTGGGAATTATCTTGATATAATAAGTAGTTTCAGATTTCTCCAAGTGAAAATCTTGTTCAGTCACAAAAAAGTCTATTCGACAAGTGGACACAAAAATTAAATTCACGATTGAAGGATATCCAAGCACTTTGGCTATTTTTCTGCAGTAAAAGGTTTTTCTGCTTTTATTGTTTTAGGACATTTTACAATGATTTTATTATTCAAACTTTGCAGGTCTAAATTTTAATCCTGGTATTGAACCGTTAGAAAACATTTTGAAAATCTGAAAAAAATGGGAAAATTTACTTTTGGAGAAAGATTAATGAAATATTTTAAAAAGCGCAATTTTTGAAAATTATGAGCTTTTTCTATAAATAATTCATAAACAATCAATTTTCCATCATAAAAATAATTTATTCAGAATCGTAACGAATGTATTTAAATTCAGAATTTCACCAGAAATCAATTTCATGCCTAAAAAAATTAGGTTTCTGAAAGTTTAAACAATTTCAATGACTTATTTATAAACAATAAATGTTTAAAAAATAATAATTCAGTGCATTTTTCCTGAAATTACCAAATTTTTCTCACGCAATTTAATCGACAAATTTGATGACTGAAAATTTTTGAATCTGTAGTGTCGTCTGTAGTAAATTGTAAAACCTACTTGGACATCCTCAATAGAAATACTCACGTGCCCATTCCCATAGAGTAAACATCCCCATTATCAGCGAGGATAATCGAATGGTTGAATCCACAAGCGACATCCACGAATTTCACTCTCTTAGGCATGTCGACCAAGTTTGGAACATTGAAAAGTCTTCCTGCCGTTAATAAACAATTCGAATTGTCAAATTTATGGATTCATTCTCGTCATTACTCAACTTACCTAGATTTGTCAGAGCGACAATGCAACTATTCTTATCAATCCTCCTGACGAATTCCTGTAAATTGTCATCATTGCTGGGTAAAAAATTGTCTACTTCTCTCCACCGATCTTCGTAAATTTTGTACTGCCAAATTTTTTGGCTTGCAGAGACAGCCGTCACGGATTCTTTATCAGCCAGTGCATGAATGAATCTGAAATCGAAATCGGGTAATTACAGAATGAGTCAATTCATTTTAAGAAAGGAAATATCTTCAATTTCTCATTCGTGATTGAACTTTTCAGTTCAAGTTTTTAAAAAATCACAGAAAAACTTGGCGCTTTCTCTAAGAAATTCTGTTCAATTTCTATTGGAACTTTATAAGTATTGTCTTCAATTTCTATTAAAATTGTATTTAAAAATTCTATTTTGTGTTCCCTTCGGCAACTTCGTAGAAGATTATACACCTTTATTATATCATTTTGATATTTTATTTTAAAAAATCAATAGATTGTGACTTTTATAGAGAAATTCTTTTTTTTTGCTGTATTTTTATCTGTTTCTAAAACCCAAGAAAAAAAATTGAGAAAGTCGTGCCCTAGAATTCTTATAAAAAAAATCACCTTCTATAGACTTTATTCTATAAACAAACGTCTATTAAAAACGCACGAGGAAATTGCATGAATTTGAATAGAATTGCCGCCGAAAACAAATGGATTTTATCAATAGAATTCTAACAGAACTCCAATAGAAATTCTCTAAGAAATCGCTAGTTTCTTCTATTATTTTTTCCCACGTGTAAACTGAACGAAACGGTAAAAAACTCGAAGGATGCACAATAAAAATTGATGAAACCCACTTTGATTCATTGCCCTCAGGTGAAACCAACAGTCTCATATCATCACCGGCTCCGAAATTCCCGGAGATGAATAAATCCGATCCCTTCCATACCAAGAAGTAATTCCACTCTATTTCCACCCCAGTAAAATCCTCCGAAAGTTTGGAAAATCCATCAGTGACTACATCACACTTATTGTTTCCCAGTACCAAGGGAGATGCGTTCAAACCGGAATAGAATAACATCCCGATGCAAATTAAGGCCTGGCCTGTTAATTTTTTTTTTCTACTTGTCTCTACGTCCGTCGGAATCCCCTAGATTTTATATTTATTCTTTTTAATTGGATTTTCATGCCCTTTTTCGGGCGTAATTAGTATCCCCGTGAGTGAGGTGATCATCTCTCTTAAGCGGTAACAGAAAGCAATCGGTTCTTCGAAATTTTCACACAAATTTCCTGCTCAAAGTTACTAATATTTTTAAAACCTAAAGCACATTGATATTCATCATCGTCTCCTGGAGATTTATGTGCGTTGATTTGAAAGAATATCGATAACTTTCGGCAAGAACTTTGGAAAATTCTGTTACCCCTTAAGGGGAAACGAAACCCCTTTGTCTATATATGAAATTTACAATTGTGTTTTCTCCCACAATTATTAATTTTTACATATGAAACTACTTGATTGACTCGAGCATTGTTGAGTCAATGAAGTAGTTTGATAAATAAAAAATAATAATTGCCGGAGAAAACACATTTCTTAAAGTTCATATAGAAACAGGAGTTCCGTTTCCGCTTAAGGCCCGGCCTAAAGAATTTTTTTTTATTTATACCCCTAGATTCCCCAGAATTCCCCTGAATCCATGCTCATTATACCCGTTTGCGGAGATACTAATAGCGGGCGAAAAAATGAATGTAAAATTATAATTTAGGGGTCAAAGGAAAGGACATAACCTGTCAGATGTCGTCAATAAGGTCTCGGGGGCGAATGAAAATGATTAGCATGTAATAATGAGGATATAATGCACCCAAAAGAAAAATTCACCAATTTTTCTAGTTCGCAACACAATATGGCGGCAGAATTCTGCCACTAGGACAAACACTAATTATAATTCGTAAATGAGCAACACACACTTGACACCTAATTATCTATGCGTCGGACATTATGGCCTTTCGTTGGATCCCAAAATGATATTTTTTTATGCCCTTTTTCGGGAGTAATTACTATCTCCGTAATTGAAGTGATCGCCCAACAATATCGGAAAGAATAGGGGAGGGGGCGGTTCCACCGCCTTTCCGTACTGTCCCCATTTTCCCTAGAACTTGTTCAAAATGGAATGTGGTAGATTTTAGTTTTATTGAAAGATGACAGATGTCGCCACCATCAACTCAGAAAAAATTAAGGTTCATGGGCTGAAGATCAAGAAGAAACCTTCATTGCTTGATAATTCCTGAACCTAACCTCACATAAAACATTCTGGAGTTCGTGAACTGAACGATTGCACTTCAGGAGGGAACAATCATACTGCTCCCGTACTCAATATGAAACATTCAACAAGAATTGCAAATTGATGTGTTCGAAAAGTGTGTACTGTACATTCGTAATCAGGTGATTGATTGGAGAAAATACTGATTTAGTTTTGACTTGAAAAAGGCTTTCGGAGCGTCAACGAATCAGTGATTTAACCTCAACTCTGTTTGGGGTTATGATAGGAAATAGCAAAAGGTTTTACTAATTTTATCAATTCGAATTATCCAATTAATTGTATATAAATAATATTTGTGGATTTACAATGTCGTACTTGACGAGAAAAGAGATTGATGAAATGAAGCCGGAAATTGAGAAGGCTGTGCATAAATTTCTGGGGTTCGCTGAGCCTGCCATTGTTACCACTGCTGTCAATTGTATTGTTTCTGGATATGATAAACGCAAAACTGCAGGTGAGCATTGAATAAATCACTGCAATGGTATGCATTTTGCACTCGTGGCTTCAGCCATAATGCAAATTCCTTCATTGAATATTTAGGTCCTGGCAAATTTGTTTTAATATTTCTCGTGTTTTCATTCGTACGATGAACTAATCTGCTTCAGAATTGCTGTTTTCGTAGTTTTTATTGCTTATTTTGGCAAAGAGCTGGACTCAATCATTAATTTCATTTTTTAATTCCAACTTTCGGTCATGTGGATGATTTCACCAATCATTTGTCTGATTTTGCACCTCCAAAATTTTATTTCGTTGAGCTTTTTCATTATTGATTTTTTATGCTTTTTAAGGCCCTAAAACTATTTTTTTACTATTTTTGGAGCACTAAATTCCGTAAAATACTGAAATAAATTTATGCTTGGAATGTATGATTAAAAAATAAACAATTGCAAAGAATCCTGATTTTAAATTTCAAATTGTTAATTTTCAATGACGAAATTTTTCTCAATTCCAGTCACTCGAGGAAATTTCCAAAAATTGGGTCTGAATTGTTGCTGCATTTTAAAAACCTGAAAATTTTTTTTCCAACTATTTTTGGAGCACGAAATTCCGTAAAATGCTGAAACAAATTGATGCTTGAAATGTATAATAAGAAGACAAACAATTGAAAAAAATCCTGATTTTTATTAATTTCGAATTATGAATGAAATTAATAAATTAGAATGACATTTCAAATTGTGGATTTTCAACGTCGGAATTCTTCTAAATTTTAGTGGAACAGTTATTTGAGGAAATTTCCAAAAATGGAGCCTGGAATTTCTCATTTTCTCTCTGTCATTCAATCACAAAAATTATCCTAGCAATTGATGCCATTTTTCGTGACTCTTCGATAACTTTACAGATAAATTATCAGCGCTGTTGGAGGATAAGAAGGCAATGAAACTCACAGACAAAGTATTCACCATGTACGAGGATGTGAAAGCATTGCAGAAGAGTAAAAAACGGTCTCACACTGAGGACAAGGAGAAAGATAGAGATGCGAAGAAATCGAAAATCATGGATGAACCTGAGAATGGAAACTCTGGGAGTACCCTTTCACCGGACAAGGTATTGTATTTTGTTAATAAAAAAAAATCTGGAGAATTAAATCCAGTTTTAAATCTGGAGAATTTGATCCATTTTTGAAGTAAAGAAACAAGATATTTTACAGAAATGTGAGGCAAAGGATAAATTTTCTTCTTTGGAATATATTTTGCCACAAACAGCAAAATTTTTTATTGTCCGATGAGACACTAGGAAGAAGAATAATCTTTATGACGATTGCCGCAATTTTTTTACTTCCATTTTCTCATAATTTTACTTCAATGATTTGTTTTTAATGAAGAAGAGTTAATAAATTCATCACCACTGAAAATTCACTGAAATTTCAAATTTTTCAACTGCAACATGACGTAAATTCCCCAAATTACGTTAATTAGTTAAACATTCAAGAATAAATTTACCTCAATTTTCAATTACGAAATTCCTCGAAACATCAATGCAACTAAGATGGGACAAAAATTCCCCAGAATTCCCTCAAAAATTTGAGCCAACAATTTTTGCAAGTGTCCTTAATCTTTAAAAAATCCAATAACGGTCTTTTCGTCAGTGAAATCTCCCGGAAATTTTCATATTCAAGTTTTCATTGAATCTAATTCATTCAAGCACTCGTGTTCGTTGAATTTTATCCCCTACAAGATCCCCATTCTCTCCGTCCGCTATTTCACTACTCAATTATCCCAAAAAAATTCAATATCCATAAAAATAAAATATTTACATTTTTAAATGTTAAAATATTCATATTTTTCTTTTCCCCTTCTCAAAGATCTTTCTCCCATTCCGAATAACTAAATTAGATGAAATTATACCCTTCAACAATTTCCAAAACAAGCAAAATTAACAAAATTACCAAAAAACTAAACCCAAAATGCCTTCAATTTCCAGATAAAACAAATGATGCTGAACGCCCAACGGGAGATCGAGGAGAGGAAGCGTGCCCTGCGTTCCCTAAAGCAGGACGACCTCTCCCCAGCTCAGCCCCAAGCGAGGCCCCGTGATAGCCTCCCCCTGGCGAGTTCAATGTACACCCAGGGTTTGCTCAGCAAAACCGACTCGGACAAAGCTCGAAAATTGGCAGCCCTGCAGGCCCAGATAAAGAACAAACTGAGTTCAGGTCTCCTGAACAACGTGAGTGTCCCCGACAAGCCGACTCCCCTGATCCTCGACGAGTCCGGACGAACAGTGGACATCACAGGTAAAGAGGTCCAACTGACGCAAGTGGTGCCAACCCTGAAGGCCAACATTCGCGCGAAGAAGAGAGAGGAATTCAAAGCTCAATTGCAGGAGTCAAAAGGGCCTGAGGAGATCCAAGACACTCACTTTTTCGACACAAGAATTGGGGTGAAAGCAGCTGGTCGAAGTAAAAGGGCTTTGAAATTTCACGAGCCAGGAAAATTTCAACAGCAGGCTGACAGAATACGAATGAAGGCGCAACTGGAGAAACTCCAGAACGAGATAAGTCAGATAGCGAGAAAGACAGGAATAAGTTCAGCCACAAAATTAGCCCTCATAGCGCCAAAGACAGAAGCCCTCAACGAGGATGTGCCGAATGTCGAGTGGTGGGACTCGGTGATACTGACGAATGGATATCCCAGTGGCGATGAGCCAGTGCAGATAAAGACTGCGACGATCACAAATCTTGTGGAGCACCCGACGCAGATAAGACCACCGACTGATCCACTGAAGCCAGCGTACATGCCTGTCTTCCTCACGAAGAAGGAGAGGAAGAAGCTGAGGAGGCAGAACCGCAGGGAGGCCTGGAAGGAGGAGCAGGAGAAGATTCGACTGGGCCTGGAACCTCCGCCCGAACCCAAACTCAGGATTTCGAATTTGATGAGGGTCTTGGGGAACGAGGCTGTGCAGGATCCCACGAAGATTGAGGCACATGTCAGACAGCAGATGGCTAAGAGGCTCAAGGCTCATGAGGACGCTAATGCTGCCAGGAGACTCACTGCTGACCAGAGGAGGGAGAAAAAGGCCAGGAAACTGAAGGAGGATACCTCCTTGGGGGTTCATGTCGCTGTTTATAGGTGAGTTTGGGAGAGATGGAATGGATAATTTTTGGGGCACAGAGGATAAAGTGTTAACTAATGGGATTCCAGGAATTATTTTTTGTCGTAAAGCAAAATTAAATTCCAATAATAATAATAATAATAATAATAATAATTTTTTTCTGTCATAATCCATGAACAACTCCGAACGTCCGAACTCAATTATTGATTGATCAAATAGTTCGAAATTCGAACATTTACATTGGTAATTAATTGAATAATTAAAATTTAATGGGTAATATTGACAATTGACTTATACAAAATTTAAGTTTAATTAAAATTTATTATTATGCCGATGTCTGGTTGAAATTGTTCGAAGAAAATTGGTATTTTATGAACTGGTTAGGCGGGATTTTTGGTGAAGGGACTGTGAAGTCGATTTAGAGGGAAAGGAATAGGGAAATTTATAATTTCAATGGAAATTCTGGGGAATTGAACGGTTTCAGCTGTAGGGGGACGAGAATTCAACAACTGATTTGATTTTTTAGTAGTTAATTACTCGGAATTTTCAGTTGATGGAAAATTCAAGAATATGTGTACCTGAATTTTTATAATTTTTGTTAATTTTTATGGAATAATTGAACTGAAATTGACAGTTTTAACGTGTCAATGACATTAAAAAACTGTTTTTTGTTGAACATTCTCTTCTTATGACCAAATAATTAAAATTCTTTTAAGGAAATTGAAGTTTTATACCTGTGCCATTAAATTTTATAGCTGCATACCTGCGTTTTCATTCAAACTGGAGAAAAACTATGGAAATGATTTTTTTTTCATTATAGAATACGCGATTTATTGAACAACGCATCGAAGAAGTACAAAGTGGAGACGAACGCCAAGCAGCTCTACCTCACCGGTTGTGTAATGTTATTCCGGGATTGCAACGTTGTTGTCGTCGAAGGTGGTGCGAAACAACTGATGAAATATCACAGATTGATGACCGTTCGGATAAAATGGGAAGAGGATATCGTTAAAGACAATGATGGCAATGACGTTCCCAACAAGTGTGTCCTAGTGTGGCGTGGTACCAGTAAACAGCGGCACTTTGGTGATATCAAATTCAAAGTTTGTCCAATTGAAAAAATGGCTCGAGAGCACTTCAAGAAGCACCAAGTGGAGCATTATTGGGATCTCGCGTACAGCGGAGCTGTTCTCGATGTCACGGATGATGTCGGCACATGAGACTCATTGTGAATATAAATACCAATGTGAGGTGTACGGGATAGGAATTCGATTGATAATAAAATTAATAAGAATTTTTTTATTGATAAGGACTCATTTGAATTTTCCAGGAATATTAGCGCTGCACAGTCATGGAAGCATTGCAGCATAATCTTGGGCTAATTTTCATCATCTTATGATTTTACTGAAATTTTAAGCGCATTCAACATTGAGAATGCAATATTTTCGGGAACAATTGATGAAAAACGTAAATTTCGGTTTAATTTTCTCGCAAGAAATGGAAATGAGGAAAATGCAGGCAAATTGAATTGATAATTGAGCGTTATTTAAGGCTGAATATTCGGGTTTTGATTGAAAGTTCAAGTAAGTTGAGAAATTCTTGTATTCCTACTGTTGATACATTCGGAATTTCATTGAATTTATTAAATTTGAGATTTCAAGATTTCTTTCGCTCTGAATCGAAACTCATTTGAATTTCCCAGGAATATTAGCGCTGCACAGTCATGGAAGCATTGCAGCATAATCTTGGGCTAATTTTTATCATCTTATGATTTTACTGAAATTTTAAGCGCATTCAACATTGAGAATGCAATATTTTCGGGAACAATTGATGAAAAACGTAAATTTCGGTTTAATTTTCTCGCAAGAAATGGAAATGAGGAAAATGCAGGCAAATTGAATTGATAATTGAGCGTTATTTAAGGCTGAATATTCGGGTTTTGATTGAAAGTTCAAGTAAGTTGAGAAATTCTTGTATTCCTACTGTTGATACATTCGGAATTTCATTGAATTTATTAAATTTGAGATTTCAAGATTTCTTTCGCTCTGAATCGAAACTCATTTGAATTTCCCAGGAATATTAGCGCTGCACAATCATGGGAGCATTGTAGCATAATCTTGGGCTAATTTTTATCATCTTATGATTTTACTGAAATTTTAAGCGCATTCAACATTGAGAATGCAATATTTTCGGGAACAATTGATGAAAAACGTAAATTTCGGTTTAATTTTCTCGCAAGAAATGGAAATGAGGAAAATGCAGGCAAATTGAATTGATAATTGAGCGTTATTTAAGGCTGAATATTCGGGTTTTGATTGAAAGTTCAAGTAAGTTGAGAAATTCTTGTATTCCTACTGTTCATAGATTCGGAATTTCATTGAATTTATTAAATTTGAGATTTCAGAATTTCTTTCGCTCTGAATCTAATTTAAAATCACTTTCTCGATGATTTCATTCAATTTCTGAGGAAATTTACGAACTTTTTAAATCCCTAAGATAGGAATACATTATCTTGATAATTATATAATGACCCATTATTAACCCCTTTCCCCGTCCGACGCGATATTAATTTTTCCACTAAATTGTTTGTAATCATCCTCATTTCAAAAAGCAATACAATTGATGAGAATCATGCCCCAATTTATCAGCTGCTAAATTTTCATATTACAATAAATAATTTGCTCATGTTCTAATTTCTATGCTCACTTAACAAGATTTTAATCATAATTACAATTCAATTCCTTCTAGAACACACTTTAGAGTGTGAATTTCTGGAATTCAATGTTTGTTGATACTCTGGTAAAAGTGCGTGCCCACACTGTTATCAATTTTTAGTTAGTTCACACGGTAATTCAATTAATCTGTTGTTCATCTCATCAATATAATTCCGTGCTTAAAATATTGTCATCTCGTGTTTTCAGCAACAAATTAAAAATTAAAACTTCATTTGGAATATTGAGTCACAGCTTCTTTTTATTCATATCAGAAATTTTGTATTTGGATATTAATATTATTTGTTCAATGTGAAAAAATCGATCATCATTTTCACTATATTGGGTTCAGATTCTCCTATCCTTAACGTCAAAAATTTGAGATAATCTCATAATTCTAGCTATTAATTCTAATCAACTTTGTTCGAAGAAAACCTTAGTAACCGCAATATTGAAAGTAGAATTATTCCATTTTCCTCTGACCTAAATGATTCGGACAATTATGATTCGTTTGTTCATATTTCATAGAATGGCATTCAATTCTCTTTTGTATGTTAGGCGGCCTTCATGAAAATTCGACGCAAGGCGATTGTCTTCATGAAAACCGTCTTACTTTCTCCATTCGTTCGAGATATTGCTCATGTTTTTCTTCAGAAAGGATTTATCTAAACCCAGAGGAGCCATCGAACCCAATTGCATTCAATAGCTGAGGGAATTAACGATCTTTTTAGACCCTTGGAAATACCGAGTTTTCCCCGCATTCCAGTATTTTTTCCGTCTCCCAACTGCGCACAAAAAACCTTCAGCATTGGACCGAGAAACTGCGGTACAAGTCGAAGGTAGAACATGTGGCCTTGCCACCCACGACTCCGCGACGAAATGTCATCCCAGTACTTTGGCTTGCGCCTCGTTTTATGGTTGTGTACATGTATCCACTCACGTGATGGATCATCTCTTTACCATTCTTCTCTCCTCTCAAATATTTTCTCGTCTGCGGTGATATTGGGGGGTACCATTGTCCAAATGTACAGTCAATTAGCATAGCGTTATGGCTGTGTGGCCACTTACCCAAGAGATTATGCAAAAGAAGAACTAACACGTTCTCCCGAGTGTTGGGTGAATGAAGGCGTAAGGAGTGGCGCGTAAAAGTAACGATCTTCTTCCTTTTCTTGAACATTACCATAAATTTTTCGTTTCCGTTATGATCCTTTCGGCGGTGCTCAAATCTCCTCTCTGTGACTAATCCTTCATTCTACCTAGGAATAATTATTTACCTGGTTCTCATTATCACATCGGGTAATCTCAACTCCGTCGGTTGAATCAAATAAGAAATCCTTTAATAAAAGATCTAGTGTAACGTTTTTTGAAGCCAATCTATTCAGAGTATTGTGTCATTAGGTTCTTTATAAATTATGATAACATACATTAAAGATATTACGATAATACTATATTGTATTATATTTTATACAACCAAACTGAAAAATCATTTATTTGAAACAATAATAATTCTTTTCAGTAAAATATAATGATAGTTTTTTTTTTTTCAAGATTTACTGTACTATATAAAGTATATATAGTGTAGAACATGTATAGTATAGTATATAATATAACATAGCATTAGTATAATATCTTTCATGTATGCTGTCATCATTTATAAAAAATCTAATGACACAATACGCCGAATAGATTGGCTTCAAAAAACAACACTAGATGTATTATATATAGAAAAATACAATACATTCCTGAAACTTTTCCTTCGGAAAACTTGATATTAACTTCAGAAATCTAATATAACACTATATTCACTATAATTGACATACATTGAGACCCATGGAGTGGGACATATGCGCGCAGAGCGCGCGGACTAATCTAGTGATCTCAAAAATTTCTATTTTTTAGAGTTGAATATCCCAGAAATTGTGTACTGTAATTGTAGATTAATTGTTGTGAATAATACTGGAAATAAGAATGCTTCTAGTCGTATTAACTTTCGTTTAGAATTCATTTCAGATTTTAATCCTCAAAATTCAAGTCGTGTTTATACTACTTTGAACTGCAGAGTTTCTGCAGTGTTAAAAAAATTTAGCTAAATTTTTCGGAAAAAGACCTTGAATTCCACTGGATTTAAGTAAAGTCCCAATTTTTTTAGCGGCAGGAATGCGAAAATTACACAATTCCATTGCCAAATTGCCTTGAATTTGTAGGGAATTCCGTTAAAGTTCTCGGAATTCCAGGAATTTCCATAAAATTCAGAGAATTCTCTTCTTGAATTCTAGATTTCTCTGAATTTTCGTAATTTTCCCGGAATAATTAAACTGAAATTTACAGTTTTCACGGATTTTCTCATAAAATTATGAATTAAAAACAGAAAATTCTTTGAAATTTCAGTGGAAAATTTTGAATTGATTTTGTCATTTTGCCACTTGGCAGAAATTTCTTAATTTGACGCGTTAAATTGAAACAAACAAATTGAACGATGAAGTCTAGTAATCGCACTTTAGAATGTAATTACCCTCCCAAAGATCCAGTTACACGACTCAAATGAACACAATCGCGCTCGAAATATCCACTAGGTGTGGTGCACGCGATGATTTAGACCCCTCCCCTGCTCTATTGCCATTTCTACACTGCCGTTCCGTATTATCCCTATTTTTAATCGTTTGGATGAAACGAGTCATGTGACGATTGATATCTCACAATAAAGACCCCGCCGTGGGAAACCCTCTCAATTTTTTTAAGTTATAGAAAAAGTCAAGAGAATATGACTTCTTATACAATTTATTCTAGTAAAATATTTTCCGTAAAAATTCCTCGTCTCGAATTTTCTATTTTTTTTCGTTTGATTTTTCTAGTGAAAAGAGACGAAAAATGGAGTGAAGAAAGTTTGAAAAATTCATGTCAAAGAATTCTTGTAGAAAAAGTTTGAATAGAAAAAATGGTGTAGAAGTCGAAATACTACTGATTTATTCTGTTAAATACATTCTACCGAACATTTTCTATAAACAATCGCAGAAAAGCTGTGAAATTTGTCAATAAAATCGACCACAAATTAATAAAATTTCCAATAAAAATTTAATATAATTTTCTATGAGTGCAGAAAGTCTGAAAAATTCATGTAGAAAATGTCTCAAGAGAAAAAATTGTATAAAGAGTTGAAATACTACTAATTTTTTCTATAAAATATATTATACCGAACATTTTCTATAAACAATCGCAGAAAAGCTGTGAAATTTGTCAATAGAATCGACCACAAATTAATAAAATTTCCAATAAAAATTTAATATAATTTTCTATGAGTATAGAAATTTTGAAAAATTCATGCAGAAAATGTCTCAAGAGAAAAAATTGTATAAAGAGTTGAAATACTACTGATTTTTTCTATAAAATATATTATACAAGACATTTTCTATAAACAATCGCAGAAAAACTGCGAAATTCGTCGCCAGAATTGACCTAAAATTAATAAAATTTCCAATAAAAATCCAATATAATTTGTGATGAGTGCAGAAAGTCTGAAAAATTCATGTAGAAACTGTCTCAATAGAAAAAATTGTATAGAAGGCTAAAATCCTCTGATTTTTTCTATAAAAAAAGCGCAGAAAATCTACGAAATTCTTGAATAATCTCGACCACAAATTCACAAAATTTCCAATAGAAATCCGATAATAACATAATTTTCTATCGAATTCGCGAGGTTATTCTCTGGAATTTTATAATCCGTGTTGCCCCCTCCCGTTCCGTATTCCCCCTATTTTTAATAATTTCGATGAAAAGAGTCATGTGACGATTGACATCTTACGATAAAGATCCCTCGCCGTGGGAGACCCCACTCTCCATTTGAATCCAGGAGCTCGTGTACTTTCGTTCCATGGAGCGGCTGATTCTACCTTCAGAAGTCAACCAGTCGCGCGTTCTAGCAGAACCGGTGTGTCACAGAAAATCATACTGTACTTTCAAACGTATTATTTATCCCCAATTAATTCCTCGTGAAGTGTCAAATGTTTTCCCTATCCAATTAGCTGAGGCACCGAGTAAAAATTGACTTACTACTCCTTCGCTTGACATTTCGAAATGTTTGTTTGTACTCAATGGTAAGTAAACGTGACCTTAATAACAAAATAATGGCTCACTGAATACCCACGACGAGGTGAGTAAATATTGACTAGACGAGTGGATCATTGAATTCTGTTAATCATAATCCTGTTGATCGCTTAATTAAGGAGATTGAATAACGGAATGGATTGGAGAATTCAATGCCCACCCATGCTCAGCCATGAACACATCGCGCTGAGCGATCGCTGAAGAATAGAGAATGAAAATCGGCTTATCCGATCGCGGGGATAACCGTTAACTTGATCAATTACCTTTGAACTCCCATGGAAATTACGTAAGAAGGACCAGGAAGAATCTTAAATGTCAGGCTTGTTGTATGGAAATCAATGGAATTGGGTGAAAAAATTATAATTGAGGGAAATTAGTCGAGCCGGTCAACCGGATGGCGTCCACGGAGAGAAATATTCAATAAAAATTACACTACAGTAACCAGGTGTCTGACAGTTATCTGAATTTAAGATGTCAGATGGTAAAAAACGTCTGAATCTTCAAAAGTGTCTGAAAATCTGACTAATGTCTGAAAATTTCAACGACCGCTTCTGTCTGAAAAATTTCAGATATTTATTTTCAGATATTTTCTGTGCCTGAAATTCAGTTATTTATGAGCGATTTGAACATTTCGCTAGTAAGATATCTCACCTGATTCCGACGGCAACAGGCTTTCTGTTCCTGAGTCCATTCAAGCATTAATTTTTGAGATATTTCTCATGTCTGAAACGTTGACTCGTCCATTGCAAAAACTAGGTATTTGACAACTATCTGAATTTAAGATGGCAGATGGCGAAAAACGTCTGCATCTTTAAAAGTGTCTGAAAATCTAACTGATGTCTGAAAATTTCAAACACCGCTTGTGTCTGAAACTGATGTCCGTATCTTAATTTCAGACATCTTGGTGTCTGAAATTGAAATACCTCCATTGATTCAGACACATTTTAATGTCACAAACACAAAAGGGTTTGAGAAGTGTCTACAAAAGTGTCTGAAATTCAGACATTAGTTTTCGCAGTGTACGTATCTTTTCTGTAATTCCGGAGCGAAATGCCGTTGTAGGAAATTGTACGGAACTGTCACGTAATTTTACCTCAAATCACGGAATTCTTCCAGAGCGTTCCGTTATGTTTGCCTGAATCTCCGGTGAAAAATTACGATACACGGAGAGAAATTTTTGATAAAAATTATCCTATCGTTCTATAAAAGTGTATCATGAGTCATCGTTTCCTCATTTCTATCCCGAAATTTAGTAAAAATTAATAGGTGATGATCAAATTTCATTCTACGTTAGAGAAATTTTATCCTGACGCATAACAAATTTTACCCTTCCAGTCCAATAATTTTTATGTAGATAACAACGAAAATTCTAGAACGGTTGGTAAATTTTACCGGTACAGTAATATTTACTATACTGGGACGGTAATTTTTATTTTTATCAGAATAAAATGTCTCTAACGTAGAATAAAATTAAATCATCATATATTAATTTTGACTAAATTTTGGGATAGAAATGAGGAAACGATGACTCATGATACATTTTCATAGAACGGTAGGATAATTTTTATCAAAAATTTCTCTCCATGTACCGTCACTTGAATTTTCTGAGTCAATTCCGTAATCGGTGAGAGAACTGAGTTCCGTAATTTTTACTGAACATTTCTCTCCGTGTCTTGTACACTAAAAGAAAAATCTAGGAAAATTCATGGATAATTCAATTGTGATTCTGAACATCCTAGGGGAGACCGGGGCAAAGCGGGGTAGCTAAGACAAAGAGGCGGGTGTCAGCTCTGTTCGCCGCACTGTTGATCCAGATCCTCGATTGAAATTCTCGCACAACAGTAATAACTAGCCTGACGAAATTCCCGTCCCCAAATCAAAATTACCAGCCAAAAAAAACGTCAAAATTACGTTTCGAAATGCAATCCGCGAGCGAAGTAAAATTCAATGAAAAGTGTGAGTCGGAACTGAAATTGTACGAATCGCCCCGTAAATTCTACGATTTGTTCCGTAAAAATTGACCACTCGTCTGATGACTCACCGCTGTGGGGACAACAAGTCGTTCCGTAATTTTTCCCCAAACGACTGAGAAATTTTACGGAACAGAACGTAGAAATAAGTCGGCAAGTTTCTGTAAGATTTTACTTCTTCGGGAAAAATTACGTGACAATTTCGTACTTTGTTCGGTGATGAACCCGAAAATTCCCTGAACGTTTCAGATTTCCTCTCTTCCCATAAAAATTGCCGGAAAACGATTCCCCATTGCGCATTACGTGAATTGCTCCTTAATTTTTACTGAATATTTCTCTCCGTGCGCAATAATCTAGTGATGCCATTGAGAATTATTTTGAAGAGATCATCACGGTCCGGAAAAACATCGAAAGCTCTGGAATCGTCGCAATCTCGAAAGACATTGGATCGGTGCATCTCGTCTGAATCTCAAGATTTTCGGTTTTTTAAGTTCACGAGACGAGACGAGACAGATATCGAGACAAAAATTTGAAAAACAGAAAATACTGAAACTCAGACGTGCTGGATTCTTCCAAGTTCGTGACGATCATGCACCGATCCAATGTCTTCCGCGATTACGACGATTCCAAAACATTCGTTTTCTTTCAGACCGTAACGATCTTTCCAAAACAATTCTCGTCTGGTCTTGACGGCATCACTGCAATAATCAATCCCCCAAGAAAGGAAAAAATAATCAACCACCTGATCCGTTCGCAAACAGTAATCCTGCCATCACCACATTGAAATTCCCAATTTAAAAGCCGGAGGGATGTGGGTCACGGTAATTTAGCTTGCGAACACCCGCTTGAATAATGATCTCAAGACAATGTGATCATTTCTTTTTTCCAGCATTTCTCTTTTTTTAGTCCTTGTGAGATTGTCTGGGGCGGTATTTTTACCACCGCGAATGCTGCAGGATCTCTCGAGACGCGCAAACGACACAATGGAGAAATACGATAGGACAGAGGCGGCTATATCGATGTCTAGTACAAAGTTGAAGCATGGCTCACCTTCATGGTACCTCGGGGCATCACACGAGATGTCTGAGGCAGCTCATAATTTATCGAGGCACGCACTCAGGAGTGAGACAATGGCAATTATACTTGTTGAGGCATTACACATGTCCCCCAGGGATGCTGTATCACTGCTACCAGCAATGACCTTGACCCCCAGTATCTGTCATGACACGGGGAATGTGTTTGCAAGGACTGCGAGTGAATGTAAAGGAGTGAATTTGAAGTACAGGACGCACTCGGGCAAGTGTAATAATCCGGTGCATCCTAATTGGGGGGCGGGGCTTGAGGCCTACGGCAGGGCGCTGCCTCCTGAGTATCAGGATGGGGTTTCTTTGCCGAAAACAATGTTTCCGAGCGCCAGACAGGTGTCAACGACTGTTCACTCCGGGGGTCACGACGCGAGGCATCCGTTCTTGATGGCTATGACTCCACTTTTCGGGCAATTTGTCGCTCACGACTTGGCGCACACGCCCAAGATCGAGTTGAACGGGGGAGAGAGGCTCAAATGTTGCGAGGTGGAGTTCGAGTATTTTCATCCCGAGTGCTTTCCCATCAGGGCTGACGCTCCCGTCGGGTGCATGGAGTATGCCAGGTCTGCTATTCATCCTGGGAATGGGCAGGTACAGTTGAGTGGAGGAGGATTTTTGGGCGACGGGGAAGTTAGCCACGGGGACTATGGGGTTGCTCGTCACCCCACGGTATTTTCGCCTGGCATTTTTGGATATGTGCGCCTTGGGGATGTCCAAGTATCTTGTACTGTTTGGTGTAGATTCAACCATTTTCAATCATCAAATTTGGGAATTAAATTGCGTGAGAATTATTTTTTAAAAAACATGAATATTCAGCGTTATTTCAATGATTTTTTTAGAGAATTATTGATTTTTTAAAGATTCGTTGGGCACAAATAAATCATTGAAGTTGATTAAACTTTCGGAAAACTATTTTTTTTCGGCATGAAAATTGATTGTTTATAAATTATTTGTAGAAAATGCCCGTAATTTTCAAAAATTGCAATTTTTTAATTATTTCGTCAATATTCTTCTTGAAGCAAACTTTTTAATTTTTTTCTGATTTTTAAAATGCTTTCTAAGGGTTCCATATCGAAATTTAAATTCAAACCTGCAAAATTTAAGGATATCCAAGTATTTTTTACAGTTTGGTTGTGAATTTAATCGCGTGAGAATTATTTTTAAAAAAACATGAATATTCAGCGTTATTTAAATGATGTTTTCCAGAGAATTATTGATTTTTTAAAGATTCGTTGGGCACAAATAAATAATTGAAGTTGTTTAAACTTTCGGAAAACTATTTTTTTTTCGCCATGAAAATTGATTGTTTATAAATTATTAGTAGAAAATGCCGGTAATTTGCAAAAATTGCAATTTTTTAATTATTTCGTCAATATTCTTCTTGAAGCAAACTTTTAAATTTTTTTCTGATTTTTAAAATGCTTTCTAAGGGTTCCATATCGAAATTGAAATTCAAACCTGCAAAATTTAAGGATATCCAAGTATTTTTTACAGTTTGGTAGATTCAACCACTGTAAATTCAACCATTTTCAATCATCAAAGTTGTGAATTTAATCGCGTGAGAATTATTTTTAAAAAAACATGAATATTCAGCGTTATTTAAATGATATTTTGCAGAGAATTATTGATTTTTTAAACAGTGATCGGTATCAATCATTATTCCAAAAATATTAAGAGAATTATTTTCCCAAAATAACCGAATTCATTCGTTTATCATTGGAACTTAGAAAATAATAAATGATTGAGAATTAAAATTTTTTCAATAACTATTAGGTAAATAATTGGAAATTTTCTAAAAAATATTAGAGATTATCAAATAATCGTCATTCTTCCGAATTCGATTATTAATTGGTGAAATCATTCGGAATTTAAATATTTAATTGTTGATTAATTTAATAATTGAAAATTGTTCAGTTCTATTACTTGATTGAGTATTTATGAAATTAATGGTAATGATAATTTATGACTATGCCCATCTCTGTTTTTAAAGATTCGTTGGGCAGAAATAAATAATTGAAGTTATTTAAACTTTCGGAAAACTCATTTGTTTAGACATGAAATCGATTTCTGGTAAAATTCTGAGTATTAATAAATTTATTAAGATTGGGAACAAATTATTTTTGCGGTGGAAAATTGATTGTTTATAAATTCTTTATAGAAAATGCTCGTAATTTTCACAAATTACAATTTTTCAAATTATTTCATCAATCTTCTTCCTAAATTGAACTTTCTAATGAATCGTAATTCTAATTAAATGTAAAATCAATTAGAGTGAAAGCTCTGGATGTTCAATTACAAAAAAATTACCAAAGTAATTGGATATCCTTAACTGAAGCGCAATGGAATTTCGTAACGAATTCTCTAGCTTTTCCCGCGAAATTTTATTGCGCGCGCTACAATACTAGAAATTCGAGTGCGATTGTTACTTAATGAAATTCTATTTCCATTCACAATTAGCAATTTCGATTGAAAACAAGCGAATCCGTCAATGGAATCGGCGAGAAACTGATCGAATTATCAATATTAATTGAAGTGCGACAAAATAATTGAATTAGAAATTAGTACCCGTTGATTTTTTAACTTAAACTGTCAATTTTCAATGACGAAATTCCTGGAAATTTCAGAGGAATTGCAATTGTGTACTAGCGAAGTGTTTAGAAAACCGAAGGGTCGTTTTCTGTCTAATTTGACGAATTTAAAATGATCTATTCTCTCGCATCCAGGGATGTAAACTAGGCCCTAGACAGCAAATGAACCAAGCAACATCCTACTTGGATTTATCCCCAATCTACGGAAGCTCGGAGGAGACAGCCAGGAGTCTCCGCTCCGGGAAGGGCGGCCTTTTGAACACCCAACGGAGGAATCTGCCGATGCCCTCGAAGAACTCCGAGAACTGCAGGAGTGACAGCAAAGCTCTGCCCTGCTTCTACAGCGGGGACTCTCGGATCAACGAGCACCCTGGAATAGCTCTCATGCACATACTATTTCTGAGGGAGCACAACAGAGTCGCTGAGCAATTATCAGAATTAAACCCTCACTGGGATGACGAGAAACTTTATCAAGAAGCGAGGAGAATCGTTATCGCCGAGATGCAGCACATCACTTACAGTGAATTTCTGCCGGCTATTATGGGCGAAAGCAATCTCGAGAGGTACCAATAAATCATTCATTCATAGTTTAACGTTTTTTTTTTTTTTTGAAAAATCATCGGCCTGAATTTTCCAAGTGTTTTGCTTAATTTTTTTTACTGGGAGGACAAAAATACTTGGAAAATTCCTGTGGAAGAATTTCTGTAATTTAGAAGAAAATTCAATTGTGAATATCTCGGAATCTAAGAGAAATAGCAAAATTTTTCTCATGACCTTTTTTACAACCCTCAATTGGCTTTACAAAAAAGATCGTAACCAAAATTTTGCTATCTCTTTTAGGTTCCGAGATATTCCTCAAAAACTGGTCAATACTCAAAATCAACTTAAGGAGAGTCTTGTTGTTCTCGAGCCCTGATTCAATCGCTGAGCACGAAATTTTCCAATTTTCAAGCAACTATTTAAGTGTGCGTTTGAACATTTTTTGAATATTGATTTTATTCATCAGATTGATTGATTTTTTTCTCATCACCTACGGGTGTCAAATAATTTTTATTGGATGTTTTTCTAATTATTGAAATAATATTAAAATGCGTCTCGAGTTGGTAAACCTGTCGAGTGTTTTCTCTCTCTCAGTTCCATGGTCCAACCCGCACCTTTCCCATGATGCTCACTGACATTCGAATCATACGCCTGCGCGTAAGGGCGTGATAGCCCCGAAATTCATAATTTTCCGAATCATTTGTTCAAATAACTTTCTTATGAAATCTGAAAAAAATCTGAAATTTATACGTGTTCTCAAGAAAGATTTGATTTATCACCCTCTAGTTTTTCCTCAATAGTTCATTATTTTTTTGGGCGCCATGGAAATTTCTCTAATTGAGAGTGGGGTAATCTCGGAGATTGTAGCTGGAGGAGTTACAAAAACAGCCAAATTTCATATTTTTTTCTTGAGACTGAGATTTAAAGAAAATGTGCAAGAATTCTCAATGATGCAGCAAACTTAGAAATTTCTCCCATGAATTTTCCCATTTTTTTTTCATTATTTTGACTTTTCAACCGAAACACCCGAAAATTTGTTGCGCGTTATGATTCTTTTGTAATTCTCAAGGTTCAATTTACGACCGATGAAATTGGGTTACTTCACGAAATACGATTCGAGAGTCGATGGTACTGTCGGCAATGCCGCGGCGTCTGCTGGGCTATTCTTTATAGCAGCCCTCACACCTAAAACTCTCGACCTCGTTGACTCGAGCACGGCTGCCAAATCGGGTGAAAGATCACTGTATTCGGCTTTCTATGCGCCCCAAGAGCTGTACGAGGCTGGGGCCATCGATCGGCTCATTGCTGGAGCCACTGGTAAGTCCCATTTCTTTATATTACATAAAGAGTTTATGGGAATGGTTTCATGGAAGTGTGTGCGGCTCTTTGATAAACAACTTGGAATATTCAACGCCTCATGCCCAATTGTCTGAACGGTCAAAAGACGATTTTTTATTTCATGAATGATGAATATGAAGGAGAAGAATTCTTTCGGGTGGGTGATGTAACGGAACGGTCTGAGGGTTTCTGTTGGCTTCAATGACAATGCTCAGTTGTTGCGTAGAAGATTGGCCCACTCTTTTAGGGAATATTTATTTCACATAAACCGATAGTATCTCTCACAATAATTGAACTGGAACTGACGGTTTTCAGTGATGTTTTCATCGAATTGTAATTTTTCAATTATTATTACATAATAATAATCGCATAAAATTTTTAGGCTCCAAATTTTAATTTTTGTTATTTATTCGATTCATTCCATCGAAAGACAAGGGTAGAAATCGAATTTACCGGTATTTTTTCATTGTTCGAAAAAATATATCAATTTTAAAACTTTCTGGAGACATTGAAGGATTCAATTTTTTATTTCTTTCCACCCACGTTATTTTGAATTTTTTTCATTTCTTCTTGTTAAAATGAGATCATAAAACTTGAAACTATTCATCCTTTTTTAAAAATTTTCAGTCTCCAATTCGTGATTTTTGCGATTCAATGCCATTCATTACATTCATAATTTTATCAAAAAACAAAGATAGAAATTGAATTGATGCGTATTTTTTCATTGTTCGAAAAAATATATCGATTTTAAAACTTTCCGGAGACATTAAAAAATTCAATTTTTTATTTTTTTCCGCCCACGTTATGTTGCATTTTCTTCATTTCTTCTCGTTAAAATGAGATCATAAAACGTGAAAATATCCATATCTTTTCCATATTTCAATAAAAAACAGTAATTCCAAATTTCCACCGACACAAATGAAGAAAAACAATTTTTTTCATTTTCTAGGCGATCATCCTTTTTTAAAAATTTTCAGTCTCCAATTCATGATTTTTGCGATTCAATGCCATTCATTACATTCATCATTTTATCAAAACACAAAGATAGAAATCGAATTAATGCGTATTCTTTCATTATTCGAAAAAATATATCGATTTTGAAACTGTCCTGAGAAATTGAAAAATTTAATTTTTTATTTCTTTCCACCCACGTTATTTTGTATTTCTTCATTTCTTCTCGTTAAAATGAGATCATAAAACTTGAAAATTTCATATCCTTTCCATATTTTAAGAAAAAACAGTAATTCCAAATTTCTGCCGAAAAATGAAGAAACACAAATGAAGAAAAACAAATTTTTCTAAATTTTTTTAAAAGTACCCATTCAAACAATGATAATTCGGAGAAAAAAAAGACTCAACGGCCGGGATTTGAGCCCAGGTTGTAACTGACGTTGAACTCGGCCGTGTTCTGCGCTAAAAATGTCCTCAAAAAAATTAAAACAGTCCATTAAAATTCCCTCCTCCTCGCACTTGGCTCAATCTACCTATTCTTCCCAATCAGCTGGCCACTCGAGGAAGCCCTATCCCCCCAGTCTAAACGAAATATTTCTCGAGAGGTACTTCCACGACGGTAAAACCGCTGACACAGCAGTGGATTACGTTGCCCAAGTAATTCAAGAAGGCAGAGATCACGGCCTACCTTCCTACACTGGCTGGAGGGCATTCTGCCAACTGCCAGAGGTGAAAACCTTCAGAGATCTCGAGGGCACAATGTCGAAGGAAACAATCGACAGATTACAACGTGTCTACAGGTAGTAATCAGTCACACACGATTCACCTGGCCTGTCATTATTCTCAATATCTGATTCCCTCTATTCAAAGAAATGTGGAGGATGTAGACCTTGTGACTGGCGCCCTGTCTGAGGTCGCGGCTGAGGATGCTGTGATGGGGCCGACCTTTTTGTGTTTACTGGGACACACTTTCAGAAATGCTCGCCTTGGTAGTTGATCAATTATAATATCTATTGAATAACAGACTTGTTCGATCGAGGGGATTATGACTCACTGATTGTTGTTGATCGGCAGGCGACAGGTATTGGTATGAGAACGGAAAGACACCGGGTGCTTTTGCTGTGGGACAGCTCAGCGAAATACGGAAGAGCAGTATGGCGAAAATTCTTTGTGATAATGGGGATAGACTCAAGAAGGTTCAACCCAGGGCTTTTCTACTCAAGGATCCCTTTTTGTGAGTAATAGACGGGGGCGATCTGTCACCGCATTTTCTTCTGAGAGATTCGGCTTCTTCGTTTAAGGATGTTCGACACCCTTTTAGCCAAAATTGACGTTGTTTTCATTTTTCTGGCAAATTATCGATGGGAGTGACGTGAAAAAATATAACGATTTTGTGGTTTGTCATTCTTTAATGGCTCACGAAGTTACGTAGTGGTGCGATAATTTTCATGCGTTTTTTCTACAGTTTTGTGATTCTTTTTAAAAGTTTTGAGAAAACGCAGGAAAACGTTCGCACCACCTTAAAATTTCGTCAGTCATTAAATAATGACAAAATGTCATTTTATCGAATACCAAAATTCTAATAATAATCAAATTCTTTGAAAGAATGTCATAAAAAAATTAGAACATTCTCTACAAAAATTCGATTGAACTTCTGTTGGAAATTCAATTACTTCTTGTCGTTTTGTTTTTAATAAAAAATTAAAAACAACACCACAGATATTTTCTTTAGAAATCCCCCGACACAAATTTTCCCAATTTAATTCACTTTGTATTTTCATCTTCTCATGAAAAATGAATGAATAAATAACTGAAAAATCAATTAATATGGGCAATAGAATAATTAATGTAAAAAATAAAATTCTACTGATTCTTCCCATAAAATATTCTCCAACAGAGTTGTCAATGGAAATTTAATTCCGCTGGGTACTTCTACGAACCGCTTTACCCCGTAAAGTTATGCTGTTTTAGCATTTCACTAGGGAATTGAGTTTTTCTTTAATTTCCATTCTAATTCTCCTTTTCTTCGTAGGAACGAAATGACCGACTGCACAATGTACCAAAGTAGAGGTATGAACCTGTCCGCGTGGAAAGAGTCTCACAATTAAAAATGAAAAGAGATAATTGTATCCTATAAACCTGAGAGAGGAAAAAACCAGGCGGAAACATCTCATTTGAGGACTTTTTCTCACTCTACACGTGCGTTTGACGCATGAACGTAACAACAGGGTTCGCCTGAAACGATGGAACGTGACGAAATAGTCCCGCATTAAGTTATTCAGTGTGCAAAACAGTGATATTTGAAACAAAAAAGTTCCATTCACTGCTTGGAACGATAATCAAATGCAAAAGCATTAAATACAATTTGTTAAATAAGTGTAATTGTAACTTTCTATATTTGCATGAGTGGGGGGAAATAAAAATAGAGGAGAGAATGAGCATCAGAAGGGAATTGACCTTTTGAACCGCAGGTTGACTGCGTAACAGTCGTTACCATTTGCGAGGAGCTAATGGGTATTGAGAGTCATGTGATGCCGAGAGGAGAGGCACTCCAAGGGGCCTCTCCGCAGCAATCTATTGTTATGAAACACACACGTACCGATCGTTAACACAATTGCGACCTCAAACTGGATTAAATCATATTGAAGTTTTTTTTTCATTATCTAGATAACACGCACGAAAAAATTTAATAGAAAAACCTATCGAATTCGTTAGAAAATTCTATTGAATTTCTATTAAATTTTCTAGTAGTTTTTGGCTGATTCTATTGGCATGTTCAATAGGAAAAATTCAATAGAAAACGTTAACAGAATTCGATTTTTTTATATAACTTATTCTTTTCATATATTTTCTATAGAATTTGCTCGACTCAAATTTTCTAAGTTTTTTTCACTCTATTTTTCTTTTCTTCTCATCAAGAAAATCAAACGAAAAAACTTAGGAAATTAGAGCTGAGGAAATTCTATAGAGAATTCAATAGGAAAAACTAATAGAACTAATACTAATAGAACAGTTCAATAGAAATTCAATAGAAATTTCTAACGAATTCGATAGGTTTTTCTATTAAATTTTTTCGTCCGTGAAACAGTTGGGGATGAGCATCGACGCAGCTACTTGCCATTCAATGTGACATGTATTTTTGTAATTTCATAGAAATTATTGGAAATAAAAAAACACGGAAACTCAACAAAAAGGCTATTTTCATTTGGACTTTGTTTTCATTATTTTACAGAATTATTCGAAATGCAGAATTTACGAAATATTCTGGAGTTATCAATTATTCATCTATTTCAATAGACATCTATTTTTGTAATTCCATAGAAATCACTAGAAATAAAAAAATACGAAACCTCGAAAGTACGAAAGTTTGATTTTTATGAAACCATATTGGTTTCTTATGAATCATGTTGATTTTTTCTTCAGCTACAATTCCGGAAGAGTATCAAGACTCTTGATGTTTGTAAATATCTCATAAAATCAGCGCTAAAAACAAATTTTGATGAGAATTCCCTTGAATTTTAATAGAATTCCACGAGAATTTTCTAGTGCATTCGTAAAATTTTTCTATTGAATTTTTTCATACATGAAGGCGAGGGTTGTAATCGTATGAGCTAGAAAATTTTTTTTAGGCCGTGTGACGAATAATATTATTTGTCATAACGGCCGTAGGGACAACACACAGAGAAAAAAAATTACTTTTGCCAAGTAAATTAATTAATTAAATTACTTGGCCGATAATAATTACTTAATTTAATAATTAAGTAACTTACTTGCCACAAGTAAATGTGTATAAATATTTGCACTCGAAATGTGTAAATTTTCTCATAGTTAGTAAATTTCCTTGGCAAACGTAATTTTTTTCTCACTATAGAATATTTCAGGACGAGTGCCGGGTTTTCTACTCGCGTGGAGTTGGCGGCCGAGCCGAAGGCGAGGACTGGCCAACCCCGCGAGTAAAAAACCCCACGGCACTGCTCATGAACGACATTTTTCCGCAGTGATTTTCACTTTTACGAGTTTGGAGAGGGGCCAATACCAATCCCCAGACGAGGAAAGGTGAAGGTCAGTACGGTAAAAATTTTATTTTTCAGAAATTATTAAACTTCATTCCATATTTTCCCTCACAATGCTTCCCATAACTCTAGCTCCACGCGTCAATCCTTCCCCTCCTCAACTTTCAACCCCCCAAACTCGCGAGAAATTCGTATTTGCCCACACGCAGAGAAATATTCAAGAAAAATTACGGAACATTTCACGTAATCCGCAAGCGAGAATCGTTTTCAGTGAATTTCTATAGGAATATAAGAGAATAAATCTGAAACGTTCAGTAAATTTTCGGGTCTGTCACCGAAAAAATACGAAAAAGTCACGTAATTTTTTTGGAAGTTGTAAAATCTAACAGAAACTTCAAGACTTATTATGCCTCCGAACATGAAAATTCTTGGATGTTAAAGACTTTTTACGAAAAGTTCCGGAAAAATTACGGAACGTGTTGTTAAAATCTCCCCCTCACGGTGACTCATGGCTAGCCGTGAGGCGTCGGACGGATGAGTAAGTTTTACGGAACAGATCGTAGAATTTACGTGACGATTGACACTTTTTATTGAATTTTACTTCGCTCCCAGATTACGTTTCGAAACGTAATTTTTACGTCTTTTTTCTGGTAATTTTTATTGAATATTTCTCTCCGTGCAAGAGACGATGGTTGTCAGGACGAAATAGTCGATTCCTTGACCCCGGATTGATCCTTTAATCTCGAGTACCAGTTGTGCGATGCTAATCAAGGTGCGGCACACGACATAGCAGATTTACCGGCCGCATCCTCTCGCCTCCCATCCACTGAGCAAAAAAAAAAATCCGTATTTGTATTGCGAAAGTAATCCATTAGATTCTGATCCTCAATGCTGAACTACAGATTTGACATTTAAATACAAAAAGTTTAGGTCCTGAGGTCGGAGATGGAGGACTAGCATGTGTGAAATCGGAGTAAAATGAGAAGCTTCTAGGTGGAAATACACACTGGAAACCTTGATCCGTTGACCTGGTTCTGATGAACGTGAATGGCGAGAAAGCCAGCCAAATACGGGGGCGGGGGGGAGATGAGACGTGCCAACGAGTGTCTCAAGAACAATACGTCGACGCCTCCTACGTATTTTGTTGTTCCACTGATACGGGAGACACGTTAACTCGAGGAACGCACTTCTACGTCTCCTCATCACGTAAAAAATTCCTCCTTTCGAATTCATACGCTGGAATTGCGGAGAGTTATGGAAATCCCCTTCACCATTCATTGTTTGGAATTTGGTATATGTTAAAACGAGAGAGAAAATTTATGACTGAAATGAAGAACGGTACGAAATAAATGGAATTGTAAAGAGATAAATTCTTCTCATATAATAGGGAATTCTTGGGATTTTACGCTTGTTTTTTTGAGAAAAGTGGTGAAAATTATCGAGGTTGTTCAAAAATAGTTTTCATCAATCATTTCATAAAATGGTTGAAAATTTAGTATGTATTAAAACGAGAATGAAAATTAATGAATGAAAGGAAGAATCAGAAGAAATAATGATGAATAAATAGCGGAAATAATTATTTGTTATTGAAACTTACGTACCTGTCACTTGTACTTCATTTTCCTGGATCGTGATTAATGACTCATGTATTAACTGATTTAGACCCCCACGACCCTTATTCTGGCCCTTAAGTTTGTAGTCTAAATTCGAGTACCAGATTTTCCTCACCAGAAGTCGATTTGGATTTTGATAATATGCAGGCTTATTCTTTCCCTTATTACGATCCTTATTCTAACCCTCGTGAGCCTTATTTTAAGTCCCATGGCCCTTATTCTGACCCTTGTGACCCTTAATCTGACCTTTGTGAGCTTTATTCTGACCCTTATTATGATCCTTATTATAACCCTCGTGACCCTTATTTCGACTACCATGACCCTGATCCTGACCTTTGTGACCCTTAATCTAGCCCTTGAGACCCTTCATCTGACCCTTGTGGCCCTTAATCTGACCTTTTTACCTTTATTCTGACCCTTATTATGATCCTCCTTATGACCCTTATTATAATCCTTATTCTATCCCTCGTAAGCCTTATTTTAAGTCCCATGGCCCTTATTCTGACCCTTACGACCCTTAATCCAACCCTCGTAACCCTTATTCTGACCTTGATGATTCTTATTATAACCCTCGCGACCCTTATTTCGACTACCATGACCCTGATCCTGACC